GTGATATCACTTCAGATCAATTTGACTGTACTACTGCATTTGGATCTCCAAAGTTTTCTTTTGCCCTTTATGTATTCTGTATTTAATGCATACATAATTCATAAAACGTACTTTTATGCTGTCCGTTATTAATTTTCCTATCTTCCTTTGCAGTCTCATCTTTGATTTTGATTTATACACATACAGCAACATTCTCCAGTTCTAAGATGAGACTGAATCCATTCCTCTTTCTCTTCACACAAATAACAGATCTTGGTCTAAACCAATGTCATAGAACTTGCAGAGTCATTGGCTTCAGGTATTAGGTTGACAGTCTTTACTAAGAACCATAAAGAATGAGCCCTAGGGAATGAGCTTTAACATTGAGGACAAGGAGATTACTACTTGACTCACTATGCTCCTGCTTATACAATGCATGTAACTATTAGCTCAATACCTGAGCATACTAGGAACAGAGTAACACTGAAAGATGCCTTTCAAACACTTACATATGAAGTGAATTATTTCTCTATAAGTCTCTTAGGAAAACAAATAGGTAATGAAATATTTTTGCTTTTGAGCATAATATAGCTTCCGGTGGCCTTGGAACTAAAATTTGTCAGACATCCCACTACACTACAGGGCATCTTTCTGATGAAACCAGATCAGAGAAGCCAGCTGGAAAGATGCCACTCTGATCCATGTGCTCCAGGAAACCTACACAACTTCTGTTCCATTGGTAAAAAAGAATGTTCTTTACCGCACCCATGCAGAGACATCAGCAATACAAAAGAATTGCAACTAAGCATCTTCAAGGAACATAGGAGCATATATGACATGGTATGCTTTTTACTTTATGATACACAATATGGAACATCAGCATGGTTTCTGTACAGAAAATAGATTAGTATTGTTAGACACCACAAAGAAAACCACAGATGTGTTCTGGTAAATCAAGACATGATCTCTTTATTTCAACAAAGGAAGGCAGACAGACGAAGTTAACTGGTTAAATTGATCTCTCACTCACTTTTCTGAGGACAGCAGCAGGCTTTTATTCTTGAAGATTAGCACAATTTCCATCACCAACATACGTTTTTATGATTGGTCAGTAGCAGTTTGTTAGCATATAAGTTGTAAACAAGGTCAGAAAGTGAGACAGTCAGGTCAGCCTTGGACAATTCACCAAGACCCCTAATTTACAAAGACCCCTGTTCCCTTTCATGTTGCTGAATCAATCATAGGATATATGAATTACACCTCCACTCAAGAGATCTTGAAGAAGCTTGGGACAGCTGGGAATGTACAAAACAGACAACAATTCTTGAGGGCTTAATTGTTAACTCATAACAGGCATAGATTCCTTCAGAATCCAAAAGAATATAGGAGGTGGCAAAGTTGTCAGCATTTTCACCTCACAGCACTGAGGCCAAAGTTCAGTTCCACGGGTTCTATCTGTGTGCATATTCTCCTGTTCTTGCATAGGTTTCCTCTTGGTGCTCTGGTGTCCTCCCACAGTCCCACAGACATACTAGTAAGCTAATTGGCTTTTGATAACATTGTCTTGAGTTTGAGTCTTTGTGTGCCCTGTGATGAACTAGCAGCCTGTCCAGGGTGAATCCTGCCTTGCGCCCTTTGCTGGCTAGGATAGGCTCCAGCTCCCCCATAACCCTGATGGATGGAAGAATATAGGATTAAAAAGTTTGCTCCAAGACTGATATGTTGTCTTTCTTCTTAACTGGCTATGCAAAATAATTTAATTCTATGGCAAGAACTTTTGCATTAGGGACGACTTGAGTTTAGAGGGTATTGTGCTTGAACTGTGTCATCTTTGCTCAGTTATACAAAGGATGAGATGCTGTATGTGCACCAACTTTCAGAAAGCAGGGTTATTAACTTCAAAGTCACTCTTCTGCGCAAGGCTTGAATTTGAACAAAATTTGAAAACTGGCAAGCTGCAGTAATTACATCTGCATACACTGTATATATAAATATTTCATTATATAGCAGGTCTTTGTCAGGTCAGAAATACTGTGGACCAGTTCTTCCTTAGAGGTGACAAGGTTCAATGTCCTAGTGAAGAAGTACATGTTGTGTTTAATACTTTCAGATAGTCCCTCAAGATACTGTACATAGTAGACATTAGTTTATCATTCCAGATAAAGACTAACTGCAGTTGTTTTAATCCATCATAGTATGTTGAATACACAACAAGATCCTTAAAAGGAGCGTACATAATTTATTTTATTTTTTCTCACATTACAACATATACTGTAATCATATTTCCCTTCTTTCTATTTTGAACTCATTCAACTTCATTGTATACTGTATTTGTGTGGTACAGTAAGATAACATTTTGGTTTAAAACTGTAAATGTGTAAAATTGCTGACTTGCCTGTTCTTCTCTTGACTTGGCTATTCATCTTTGTTTTTTATTATTTTATACAAAAGAAATCTTCAAACTAAGAATTATCTTTTTGGGGTGTATTCCTGCTTTTATTGAGCAAAGCAATGTGTTTCTTTTATTTTTGCTTATGTAGGACATCTGAAATCTTAGCTCTCCTGATTTTTATGCTTACTGATTTGCATTGGAATAGTCATAATTCAACATAAAAACATGCTAAAAACACATAACACAACAACAGCATGATTCATTGTTAATGTAATTCTCACAATGCACGGTAAAACTCATAAATAAAAATCGATAACAAAGCAAATCTTTTCTGTTGAATTCAATAAATCATCTGAGACCCAGTGCAGGAATTCTTTGAGGGTAAACATGGGAAAAAACTAAAATTGTAGACTGTTGTCTCTGTAAAAGTTTCTGCAGTAAGTATAAAAACATTTTGTCTCTCCATTTGATCTGTGTGCAGACATTAAACAATGGATATCCCAAAGCTGACAAAGGCCATAATGTTTATCTCACTCATTTGGTAGTTTAGTAAGTGCTCCTACTGTAAAGTTTTGTCTACCCATTTCTTGAAGGAACTCGAGTCTCAACCACATGAATGGAAAAGCTTCTCCAGATATGCACAGCTCTTTATGTGACACATTCCCTATTTTCCCCACCCTAAGAGGGAATTATTTTGGACTCCTGTTGCGACACTACATCCTTGCCTTGTTATTGAGTCTGAAATAGTCCCCTGGGTTGACCAGATCTATACTCATTAGAATGTTATACACTTGGGTCAAGTCTCCTCTCAAACATCTTTGGTTTTGAATGAAGGGATTTAACGCCTTTAACTTGACCATACAGTATATGACAAACCCCTCAGACCAGAAGATTTTCTTATTTCTGTTTTTCAAACTCTTTCCAATATTACAATATTTTCTTTGTGGTATGCTGATAAGAATTGAGCACAATATTCTAAATGAAGTCTTACTTGTCCCTTATTTTCAATTCTGCACTTTTTGCAATATACTCTACCTTTGTCTTCTGCTGCTTGTTTACTCAGAATCTACATTAAGATTAGTTTTGCTGCTTTTCAAAACTCAGAATCATCTCATGAGCTATGTGTCATTCATATTCCTAGTTCGTGCATGGAAAACCTTGAACATTTCATTTAGAAAAAAAAATGTATTTGTCATTCCCTTGCCACAGTTTCTGTACTTGCCACTTTTCCCAATTTTCATAAAATCAGAAAAGTAGCTTACTTTGTCAGAATCCAAATTATTGATCAACTTCAGGAAGAGAGATGGGCCTAAACAAGATCCCTGCTGTACACCATTTCTCACATCTTGCACAATTAAAGTAGGATTAGTTAATAAATTATTTATCTTTGTGCAGTGCATACATTACCTTGGATTCCTATTGCTTTTAACTTCAGTAAATACCTTTATTGAGGAACATTATCAAAATGTTTGTGGAAATCTACATTTATAATTAAATATACTTTATTGTTAAAAATTGTTTATGCTGCTTTTTCAACAAATCTTTAATGTAATTCTTCCCTTTCTAAATCTATTTGTCTCTTAAAATGCTGTTGTTTCGCATGTTTTCTTCTAGTTTTACTTTAGCTATGGTTTCCATTATGTTTCCAGTAACAGAAGTGAGACTAATGGGTGTATAGAGATTCAAGCATAGAGAGCTGTATCAATGTGCAAGCTTCACAAAGTCACAAAGGTTAATTTAAGGCCGACAGCATGGAGTGAACCTTTACTTATTTATTTGGTCCTTGGTTTACTGGTTCAGTTACAGTATGTCCCCCTTCTATGAATTGGTGTTACATTTGCAATTCTCTGAGCACAAAAGGTGCTTTCAATGATACTGGGCAATGTCATTAGTTAACTGTGACCAGGATTACTTTAAGATATGGGTGCTGTTGGCTGAACAGGTAGACTTGAGTCGACTAGAGTATTGAATTGGCTTTAAGTGCTTTGAGAAGCAACCTTTAAAATAAAGTTTATTATTATTATTATTATTATTATTATTATTATTATTATTATTATTATTATTGGCTGCCTGTGTAATTGCAGCTATGACTAGTTGGGCAGTTGTGAGCCTGCATTGCTGACAGGACTAACCCTACTGATGTCACCAAGGGACCTACTGCACAAACAATGCCAAATGCATTTGACATGTACAGTACATTGTGGAAGAAACTATGGAGAATCCTAATCCACTCCATGGTGGTATTAGCATATAATGTACAGTGGAGGAAATCCCTGTCATGACATTTTTAATTGGCTGTTCACATATAATTTGCTTTGCTTTTAGAAGTGACTTTATTTCTGCTAAAATACTCCAGACAATAAATATGAACATGTTCTCTCCCTGAGCTACACCTGAGCTGTTCTAATCCAACCAGTTTTATCATAATTTAGAAAAGGACTAGTAAAATGCTATTACAGATAATGGTGCATAAAACCATAAAATTGATTAGATAAATATTTTAAGAAAATATTTCAGAAACTACACTAATATTACTGAACTAGCCATGCTTGAAATTAGGTTGATTCATCCAGTCATTAGACTTGCAAGACAGCACTCACATACATATCACCCAAATTTCTTCTTGTAGTTCCTTAGGGAAGAGGGAGCCCTGAAATTTGATTCCTCTCCAGTATGAAGCACTTCTGAAAAGGTCAGTAGTTTTCTCAATGGCCTGTATTACTCCAATACTGCGTGTCATTTATGTCTGATAACGTACATCATTAAAACCTTAATACATCACTCAAAGGGAAGATGCAGGTTACAGCAACTGACCTCAATTTAAAAGAGGGAAAACCGTAAAAACTAATGTACATTAAAGGGTGACAAAGAAATTCTTTCAATATTCAGGTCCACACTTCACTGATTCTTAATTCTCTCCCCACACACAGCATAAATGGTACCTTACACTTTTTTTTCCCATTTGAATCCCAATATTTTGTTGAAACTGGGAAATGATTTTGACAGCCTCCTTATGGTTTTTAGTTCATTTATTCCCAGTGGCTGAAACTGTAAGTAAATCATAAGCTGTTTTTTTGTATAATACCAAGAAATCTAACCCTCACACCATCACTGAAAAAAGGGTTCGTATTTCTGATACTTCATGCCATTATGCTTTGTGGCTATATTCACTCAATAGGCCAAATTAATTTATGACCTAATTTTTGAAAGCTTTTTAGTAGTAGATCTAAAGGAATATGAATTGGATGCATGGACTGTATATTTTTATTACATATTGAAAACATAAAAATGCGACTCGCAACAAGGAAAGTATGTCATATTAGGACAGTTAGTTCTTTCTTACTGCAGCAAAAGATTTGATAGTCTAATTTTGTGTTCTGATACAGAAAGCACATTCGGGTATTATTAATCCTTCAAAGTTACAGATTTCCAATTTGAAAGGATACTATATATACTTTGGATAAACTCAATAGGCCCACCATCTTTACATCACCCTACAACAGTACAATACAATTTTAATTAAGGAAGTATTTAACTTCAGTATCACATACAAACGATATATAGTAATTTTGGATTGTAATGAAAAATGTTTTATTAAATAGTTTATTAAAATCTGGTGACTCATCTGGTGATGAAGGACCTTTGGTTATACAGTACATATATTGAATAATCTTAATGTATTACTTAAGCAGATTCTTAATATAAAGTGTTACCATAGATTTAACAGCAAACAATGTTGTACACTCAAGGCTAAAAGTCCTCATTAGAAACTGTATGATGAACAGCACATTAAAAATGATTAAAGTAAAAATACAATTTTGGCAAATCCTAAAAGTGCTGTAAAATGAACTCTACAAAATGGGTGCCCATTAATTGAATGCCACCCAAGTAGTGGATTACAGCTGTATTTAAGGGAGAGTCAAGGGTACTAGAATATGTGAGGTGAGCTGCAGTGCATGGGCAAATATCACAAGTATCAGGCTATATGTAAAAAATACCAGATGTCCTGGAAACAGATGCAGAACAAATCTGATGTCCTGAACTGATATGCATGTCCACAAACAAGCAACCAAGTTTACTAATCCCTCTAATTGTAACCTAGCTGACTTTGTTAAGCTTCAGGTCAGGAGATTAGAAAATGATTCAAATGCTGAAGATCGCGGATTATACTAATGAAGAATGTCTGGTATGAAGCTCATTTGCTGTTTACCTGAGGATGAGAAAATATTAATCCTTTAATTCTCTGAAGGGGATATTTCAGAATAAGCTGTAAATTATTTCAACATATCATCAGTTAGAAGTGCAGTTTAAAAAAATGGGTTGATTAAGAACTCTCAAACACCTGTTTTAAGCAGGATTCATTACATTTGCATTATTATCCAAGTGCACACTTACATTTTAAATACAGGGACTTGCTAAAAATTACATTGCCTATTTAAAATGCAGAGTTCCCGGCAGAATTGCTTTCTATATTCTATTTAAACTTTACATATCTGCATTCCTTATTGCTGTATATTTACAAGGCAATTTAATCCACTTTAAATGTGCATAACCAGGAGAGTTCTTTGAGGCAGTGGTTTTAATCTGGTACGTTTGAGATTTGCTTCATAGCCTGCAAAGTTGACCTGACAATGTAAAAAAGGGAGCATCCACCTTGGAATACTAATAAACTCTCTTGCTCCTGCATTTTCTAAGAACTGCTGTGTTCTTTTGTGTGGCCTGCCACAATTTGTAATAGTAAGTCCATCAGTACCACTCCCCTTCTAGCTCTGTTAATGAATGCCAGTAATTTCAGTCTCTCAAAAACTAAATTCTCAAACAAAGTGCTTTCTTATGCTTTCTTTTGCAAGCTGACATCCAAAATTGGCACCTGCCATTAGTATAATTGATGGTGTTTATCTCCGAAAAAGAACTGGGAGTCCATCTATCTGATTTGTATATATATTATTTAAATTCTGATTTGGCATTTTATCCTTTGTGCAAAATAAATTAAAAAAATGTTATGCTTGATCTGTGCCTCTGCTCGAGGCAAGACATTTCTTAGTTGGCGTTTGTTCTCATTCGTATGCCCGGAGTTTTGCCAAACACATCCCTAAAAAATAACAAAACCTCCTTGTTCACTGTGCCATATCTGTCAGTTATTGTGTACAGTCCTGCCAGGAGAAAAGCCTGCCATTAATAGTCATGTCCAACTTGTTATCTTACTCTAAACACTAACAGAAAATGGACATATGTGACAGAGATCAATAAGTACCTCTTGGTAGTAGGCAAAAGACAAGTACATAACTGATGGCATGCTCCAGCCACTCTCTGGGGACATTAATGCTGACTTAACTAGCAGTGTGACCTTTAGAACTAGCTATCATGTTCTTATTGCATTTTTTTTACCAAGGTTCTGTTCTAAAAAATCAGCATTAGCACAAGAAGAAGCCCTTATTTCTTGTTGGAACATTGGAATGGGTCCAGTCATCTCAGAACTTGACAGTCAGCTGCTCCAAATTGAAACAATTAAACCAAATGACAAATGTTCTTCTTTGGAAACATGGGGACCTACCAGGAGAAACATCTCTTGAGGCTTGAGAGATTCAAACTATAGGTATTTGTCAGCTTTTAAACATGGGAAAGGCTAGGGGAAAAGTACTGAGGTGGTGACATTACAGCAACTGATTTGCACTATATTTGCACTATTTTGAGAACTACATAAACCATTTTGCAAAAGCCCATTGTCCTTATTCAGGAAGAGTTGTTTTTGTACAGTTAGCATACTTTTTGACCGTATTTTTGGTTATTTTCAAAATTGAATTACTCCAGTCAAAACTGTGTACACCTTTTTTTTCTTCAAATTCTTCATCCATTCGTTATCAGACAGCTTTTTTATCCTGGTTAGGGTCATGACAAGCCAGAGCCTACTGGAAGTACAGGACACAAGGTAGAACTCCCCACTACTATCCTTTAAAAATGAAATACAGTGTAGAAACATGTGCCCAAAATGAAAGAGAACAGCAGTGTGAAATAGTGGGTTGATCTCTGGACTTGTAATTGGAAAATTGTCGGTTTAGATGCTAGATGAGGCACTTGCATTGTATCTTTGACCTACTGAAGATTGCTCGGCTCAGCCTCAGCCAAATTAACAGAATTTTTCTTAATCAAAATAGGAGTACAGTGTATGGGCAATACTGAATCCATCTGTAGTTCACTTATTAATCAAAAATCTGTGAACTCACAACTTATAAGCAACTTATGTATTTCTGTGTAAGAAAACATATTGTAGCACGCATAACACAACTTACACCAACACCACTAAGGCATTACCATCTCATCTAGTATACACCAATCAATTGATCTAGCTCTCTACTGTGGAGAATTGTAATTCTTTTTTTTTTTCAGAGAAATTCATGCATATGCTTAAGAAAGTTCAAATAACATCCAGTGAAATTCCACAGCATAACCCTAGTAATAATTCTTAACAAACATATTTTGTAGCAAATTATTTCCCATGTATATGGTTATTTTGTTTTTCAGGTAAAATGATATTTTATAGGTTAAAAGTCTTCATATTGCAAACAAAAACCTTAAATATTGAAGGCAACTATACATACATACAAAAAAAAAGCAAATGTCCAGCGCAGAAACTACAGACACATTTATTTAAAAAAAACATTTCCTTAAATAAGGTAAATTATAGTCCTTCATTCTGCTTAATTCACCAAGTGCTTCATTTTAATTAGCCTAATAGCAGTGTTGTTACTTATATTAATGAAGCTTAAGTATATTTCCCTGTTCATCCACACTAATGATACTACTGAATCTACTTTCACATACAGAACAGATAAAGTAAGTACCTTTTCTTCAGTCTTTGTTAGACTTCAGTCTGCTGTTGGGGCTGAAATTTTCATGTGATATTTCATCCCCATATTTTGCGACCTTTCACACCATCTGTCAATGCAAGGAGACTGAAATATAATTACTTTACTAACACGATCAGAGCATCTTCTGCAGAGGGCCCCATTGAAACCCTGATAGCAGGTGGTGAGCTGAATTAATATTCCGTTTAAGTCTGAATAGCCTTTCTTTCGGGAATAGAAAATGTGCTCTGATTTCCCTTTAGTGTTTTAGGGCTCATCAGCATCTCCCTATCAGGTAGAGAGTGCTATCTTTTCAATTATGGCAGAATCTTCAGCCTGTTGTTCTGGCTTCTTTTTTAAATGCTGTTAAAGTAGTCAATTCTTTTGAACCATAAATACGTGTATGCCTATTTATAACGCTGTGGATTTTAAATGATTACATTACTGTCAACCCTTATCCATTATGGCTATAATAGTTTTGATTTTCTGGATCTAAATCCCTTGGCATTACATCGCTGTTTTCTTAAAACCTGAAATAAAATGAACTCTAAACACCTAATTGACAAGATCTGAAACTCTGGAAAAGTATAACAGACAGTGTTTGTATAGTAATGACCCTGATTATTAAATTGACTTTATGGCTGCTACCTACTGTAAATACCAACAGACCAATGGACATGCCCCTGCCACACACTGACCTAGTAGGGCTATGAGCTCTACTGTTTAATCCCAATAGATGGTATGTACATAGAAAGTACAGGAATGGGTAATATACAGTATGCACAAGATACAATTCCTGTGGCTCAGGGCAGATGAAAAGTGTACATCAGCATTCAAAGAGTTAACT